GGGGGGGGGGGACAACAAAGTTTTTGTTTTTAATAAACAGGAAACAATGTAATAAGCAACAAAGAAGCAGAATGAGGCAAAGCAGAGGGACCCGGCGGTGGTACTTACTACGGTAACAGGTACTCTTTAGCACATCCTCCCGCTTGCAACGCAGCCACAGGAAGAGAAAAGCACAGGGAGAGAATCTACACATTCAGTCACAGCCACCGGGTTAGAGGAGAATGGCCGAGCCATTCTTGTGGACACAGATGGGGTGGAAGGTGAGCCACAGGCTCCCGACAGACACAGGAAGCATGACGTATAAGACCGAGGGACAGACACGCAGGCCACACGCCACAGACATGCGGTGGGTGGTCCGAGAGGCCGATGGAGGCCAACACTGTCCATGGACTGACAACACGGCAAGTCAAATGACATCCTGCAGCCCAGACACCAGAGGACGCTTCCAGAGGTGTGACCAGAGCACAGAAGGTTTAGGAAAGTGCAAAGTGGGCAAAACTGACATCATAAATGAACGTGGGTTCCAATCCCTGAAGTCTGTCGTCCCAACTTGTGACATCTCACTAACAAATCCGTTTGGCTCAGGTTACCCAGGACAAGGCCCAAACAGGAGCAAGGAGGCTGGGCCCAGACCACGTGCTGTGCTTTGGTTCCCACACAAAGGTACATGTCCTCAGTGGTGTCAGCCACCACTCCTTCCACCAGAGAGAACACCCAGTCCACTCCCCCCAACCCCCGTCTCACACACCGGTCCACACGGAGCCACGTGCTCTCCCCAACCAGGGCAGCCCAGCCCAGAGCTCACCTTCCTCCAGCTTGGCGGGGGTGCTGGGGGCAGCGGGGTTCTCTGGAGGACTGCCATCTTTCTGCTCTCTGCTCTCATCCAGACTCTCTGCAGGTGAGCAGAAGGTGAGAAGGGTGTGGGAAGATGCCGCCATGAGCCTGTACCCCCATCCAGGGCAGGTGGCCCTCCGCTGCCTCACGGACGATGCACTTCCAAGGGTGTGTCCCAGAGACCAGGTAGGGCTCACAGCCATGGCTGTCTTCATCTTTTTCCACATTTCTCCCCAAAAGGGGATGAAGGAAGTCAATTTTATCACTGGGGCATGGATCTGAATTTCAGAAAAATTAACCAACTTTGGGTGCAAAATTAATTTCTATTCTTATTCCCAACAGAATCTGCCAGAGCTGCCTCTGTGACACAATGTGATGGCTGACCCCCGACCTGTCCTCTCCTGTCTTCTAGTGAAGAGCCCCTCCCCCCAAGTCCTCACCATCCAGCCTCCCCCACTGATGAGCAAACAGCCCAGGGTCCTGAGCACTCTCACCCTCTTCGTCACCTCCAGGGATGCTACCCGAGCATCACTTTGGCTTCATTTCTTATGTAGAGCATTTTCTACCAATGACGGGAACTTGGCAATTATAATGTATGTTTCCTTTTTCTAAAGTACATGCTGACAAGGACCAGGGGAAACACTGCAGGAACTATAACCCGGGGTCCAGAAAGTTCCAAGTGTACCTCTCATCAGGAAGAAACACACTCCAATACTAGCCTAGCTCCTAACTCTCCTTCTCTCAGGTGAACTTCTACAGTAATAGCCTAGGACCACCAGCTCCTGCATTTTGAACAAGCAGCTATCATCAGCAGTGCCTCTGATCTCACAGAGATGCCCAACTACCTTCCTAAGCCACGGAGCCTGCAACTACCTTTCTGAAGCCAGGAGCCTCCCAGCAAAGAGCTCCATCTCCTCCCTGAGGCCCAAGGCTTTCTTTCCTCCTGTTGGAGGTGCTGACCTTGACAGACGGTTTGAGTTTTACCTCCAGTACACAAGCCCCACCCCATGCCAAAGACCAGCACCAGTGTGGGGCAGGGGTCTCCTGAAGGGTCCAAAGGGCAGACACACGTACAGGGCACAGGAATTGGGACAGGCCGCAGGACCAACAGCTCAGGCCCACACACCACCCCTAGTTCCTACTCTACTGCAGGCAGGCAGTGACAGCCGTGGCACCGAAAGCTCTCCCAGGGCGTGTGAGGCATTCAAGGGAGAAAACCAGAATCAGAGCAGCTGAGTCAATGTGCAATGAATTTTAATTTTAATGCACATCTAATGGAAAGTGACAGGCAGTCACAATATAACACATACTAAAAACAATCCAGCAATAGTATTTTGCACAACTCAAGCTTCAATAGCAGCAACAGAATGCACTAGTTGGTCTAAAACAAGATATAAAAAAGTTAAACTGGGGCAACACAGAGATGGTCTGAGGAGCAGTACAGAGTTCCCAGGATAGTCCCCATCGACACAAGAGGGAGTCGCCACAACCACATACTGTGGGACTCACTCCTCCAGGAAGGCCAATTCCCAGGGGCAAACTGACTTCAGGGGACTGTACTTCAAGCCTGAGGCTTTAGGACAAAGACCAGGGTTGAGCTTAAGGCCCTACAGACAGCAGCGGGCACCTCCAGGTGGGAGGACGGGGACGGGACACGTCTGTGCCCCAGGATCTTCCTGGTACCAACCAAGGGCACTCAGGGAAAGGACTCAGGTCCACTTGAGCCTTCATGGTAGAGACGAGGGAGGCTTGCTTCTCTTGTTAGCTCTCAAAATGTCTGAATCTACATTTCAAAATCTGAAGTTTGAAATAAACTGCTCCATGATGTTCCAGCTCTCAGAGCCATTTACTTTCACTTGTAAATAGTCCCACCCCATTTTATAAAAATTTGACCACCCACGTCAGTGAGTTACCAAGAGAAAACAAAGGCTGCACAGTGAGCAGTCACTGCGCCTGCTGGGGGAGACCACCAGGGTACACGGAGATGAGAGCCTGTCACAGCAGCCCCCAGGCTGTGAATCCAACTGTGATGAGGAGGAGCAGCGGCCACAAGCCAACTGTGAGAGAAGGCTGAGCGGTAGCACAGACACGGACTGTGGGCCAGGGCCAGGCTCTGCCACACAGCTGCTAACAGTCCCAGAGCAATGTCCTGATCACTCTGGGTGGACAGCAATCCAGCTGAAGAACCAGCACTGCTCACCACACCTGGACTCTCCCAGGGGCAGTGGCCATGGTGCTGCTGAGGCCAAAGAGGCCTCGAGTGCCCTCCCTTCTACCCCCCTTCACCCACATCTTCACAGGGGCATCTAATGACCAGGGCACCTTCAGGCCCAGCCTCCTGCCCCACCGTGTATTGTGACAGCACACAGGAGTCCGGCAGTGGTCACACATGTACTGTGGGCCCACAAGCAGAGCACTCACAGATATGTCTGATCTTCTACTGCCTCCGGGACTAGCCTGAGTGAAGAGGGAGGAAGTGTGTACTAAGGAACACTCTGCTTTAACCACTCACCTACAGCCATGCCAACGCTGAACCTGCCCGGACGCCCGGCCCTCCCCACGTGCACTCACCTGCAGGGCCCTTGTGCTTGCGCTCCACCTCCCTGCGGTACTCCTCCAGCTCACGGTCAGTGAGTGTGTTGAAGGGGTTGGGGCCCGTGGTGCTCACGATGACGTGGGGCTGGTACTCCTTCTCAATGATGGCCTTGGAGGCTGTCACCAGCTCCCCCTGCAGACAGAAAGGGATGCCATGTCTACAGAAGCCCTGCCCAGGAGGACTCTCCCTCCTCCCAGGCCAGGCTGCAGGCGGGTGGGGGAAGGAGGCGGCTTTCCAGGGGCACGCTGACATCCCTGAGGGTTAGACTGAGCTACAGCCTTCAGTGGCAGAAGACAGAGCAACATGATTTTGATACAGCAAAATAAATGTAACAGAAGAAAAATATCCTAGAAAGTCCTTGGGTTTCAGAAGCAAAGGCAGCAAAGTGCAGATGCAGAGCACAGAGCACCTCGAGGACAACCCAGGTCCTCACTGACAGACGGGGGGGGGGGGCAAGGGGG